GCACAAAAACTCTGAAGCTCAGGACAGTATCCCCTCCACTCTGAGAGCAGAGTCCAGTTTTAACATAAAGTTAAAAGTCAAGAAATAGGCTGGAAAAAAGAGCAAACAACTACTACTGACCATAGAAAGTCATTATGGTGACAGGGAAGATCAAAACACAAATTCAGAAAAAGACAACACTGTTCAAAGCCTCAAAGAAAAATGTGAACTGGTCTTAGAACTAAGAAGAATTCCTGGAAGAGCTCAAAAAGAGTTTTAAAACCTGAATAAGAGAGGTAAGGGGAAAATTTTGGAAGAGAAATGACAGTGATGTAAGAAAATCATGAAAAAAGAGTCAACAGCTTGGTAAAGGAGGTATAAAAAATACTGAAGATAACACCTTAAAAAAACAGAATAGTCCAGATAATAAAAATCCAATGAACAGACGAGTGCCTTAAAAGGCAGAATGGCCACATGGAAAAAGATGTACAAAAATTTACTGAAGAAAAAAAATCCTTAAAAAGTAGAACTGGACAAATGGAAAAGGAGGTACAAAAGCTCAATGAATAAAATAACTCCTTAAAAAGTAGAATTAGGGAAGTGGAGGCTAATGACTCCATGAGACATCAAAAAGCAATAAGACAAAATCAAAAGAATGAAAAAATGGAAGAAAACATGAAATATGTTTTTGGAAAAACAACTGATCTGGAAAATAGATCAAGGAGAGATAATTAAGAATCACTAGACTACCTGAAAGCTATAATCAAAAAAAGAGCCTAGACATCTTTCCAGAAATTTTCAAGAAAAACTGCCCAGAACCAGAAGGTAAAATAGAAATTGAAAGACTCCACCAATCATCTCCTGAAACAGATCTCAAAATGAAAACTTCCAACAATATTATAGCCAGATTTCAGAACTCCCAGGTCAAGGAGAAAATACCACAAAAAAAATTCAAATACGTAGTCAGAATTACAAAAGATATAGCAGCTTCTACGTTAAGGATCAGAGGACTTGAAGTGTGATATTCCAGAGGGAAAAGGAGCTAAGATTACATCGAAGAATTACCTCCCCCCCAAAACTGGGTATAATCCTTCAAGGGGGAAGAATGGAATTTCAATGAAATAGAGTACTTTGAAGCATTCCTGATGAAAAGACCAGAGCTGAATAGAAATTTTGACTTTCAAATACCAAGACTGAAGAGAAGCATGAAAAAATAAACAGGAAAGAGAAATCGTAAGGGATTCAAAAAGGTTAAACTGTTTATATTCTTATAAGATACTTGTAATTCCTAAGAACTTTATCATTATTAGACAGTTAGAAGAAGTATATATAGACAGAGGGCCCAGGTGTGAGTTGAATATGATGGGATGATTATCTAAAAAATAAAATTAAGAGATGAGAAAGAGGAAGACACTGGGAGAAGGACAAAGTGAGAGGTAGAATGGGGTAAATTATCTGACATAAAAGAGGTAGGAAAGAGCTTTTACAGCAGACAGGAAGATGGGTGGGGGTGGGGGAGCTCATGAACCTTACTCACATTGGAATTGGCTCAAAGAGAGAGTAACATACAACTTCAATTGGGGGCAGAAGTCTATCTTAGCCAATAAGGAAATAGGAGAGGAAAGGGATAACAGAGGGGAAGGGAGATGGGATTGGGGGAGACAACAGTCAGAAGCAAAACACTTTTGACAGTGGTGTCACAGAGTAAAAAGGGAGAGAGAGAAAAGAATAAACAAAGAGGAAATAGGATGGAGGAAAATACACAGTAATTTATAACTGAAAAAAAAATTTATAGTAATTTTCTCTGATAAAGGCCTCATTTCTCAAATATATAGAGAACTGAGCCAAGCAGCACATTCCATGGCATCCTTGGGGCAACTTCTCAGCATTAGCAAGTTTTCCCAGTGTCTTATAACTGTTTCATAATTTCCATCCATCACTCTGGTTCTACTCTTGGGTACCAATAAGGACCAATCTAGGAGCTCCCTTACTTCATACATGAAGATGGATGTCACACACGCACACACACACACACACACACACACACACACACACACACACACACACATACACACACACACCACACCCTTGCAAGTCATCTCTATTCTAGGTTGAATTAATCTAGTCCTTTCACCCAATGTCTGGGCTGATATGGCTATTTTAAGGGTTTGGTATTTTTCGTAACTAAGCAAGCCCTAGAAAATGCTCAAGATTGAAAGTTAGCAATAACAGTTACTTATGTATATGTTAAGGGTAATGTCTGTTGCAAAGAAAAACTACTTAGACTATAACCAATGCATGAAGGAATTGTCTTTATAACTGCAACAGAATCATTTGAAAGTATTTACCCTAAATCATGATTATGTATTGATAGAAATATTGATTGACTCACTACAAAATAAATGAATTTCAACAATAACAAAATATATACACACACATACACACATACATGTGTATAAATGTTATACAAATTGTGGAGTTGAACTGGTTGTGACTGAAAGATTTCCCACATTTTTTTCAGAAAAGCTATTCCTGAAAAGTATCTGCTATCTCACAGCAGAAATATTTGGACCAGACATCATTAAACTGTAAGTATAAATGGATCCATGTCAATGAAATGAACTTGCCAGGAAAGAGGAAAAGAGTGCAGACAAGAGAAAGGGAGTGGGTATTTCCAGTTTTATCTGCTTAGTAAAGGAGAGAAAAGCTAAAACCTGGGCCATTTTTTGTCGTGTTCAAGCAAATGCATCTTCCCATCCCTCCCTCCACCCCACCCCCAACTTGGGAGTTAGATAACATGGAAGTTTGATTCAAATTCTAACCATGGAGCCATTAAGTCTTGTAACAAGAATTTTCACAAACCAAATGCCCTCCAGCCATCAGTCAGATGGAGTTACTTGCTCATATTTCTGACTCTTCACATATCTTTTTAATTGTTATCTATTCTTCTTTCCCTGCTTCCTGTTATACATTTTCTCCTAATGCCCTGATTTGTTTTGCTGTTCTTTTGTTTTCCTTCTCTCTGCCTCTATACCTTTGGCCATGACTCACTTGGACAGTCCAGTCCATGCCCATCTGCAGATGGACTGTCTTCCCCATTGAAATGAAAATAACAAAGTTGTAGATTTGCACAGAGTTAATATTTAAGACTATAAGAATCAAAAGGCTACAGAGGGAGAAACAGGTTGGGGAAGGGTATTTTTCTCTAATAGTATTTTTCTTTTTAAAATTTATCATTTATGTTTAGAATTCTTTTTAAATTTTGAGTTTCAAATTCTCTCCCTCTCTCCAACCCCTTCCCACCCATTTAGAAATAAATATGTGAAGTCATGCAGAAGATATTTCTATATTAGTCATTTTTTGTTTTTCTTTTTTTAATTAATTTATTTATTTTTAGTTTTCAACATTCACTTACACAAGATTGAGTGCCAAATTTTCTCCCCGTCTCATCCCTTCCCCCACCCCAAGATGGCATACATTCTGAATATCCTTTCCTTTAATCTGCCCTCCCTTCTATCTCTTCCCCCCCCACCCCTTCTCTTATCCCCTTCTTCAATTTTCCTATAGGGCAGGATAGATTTTACTATAGGGCAGGATAGTATATTAGTCACATTTTATTCAGTGAATTTTCATACCTCCTTTTCCATTTGACTAGTCTCCTTTTCAAGAAGTTCTTTTCTTCAGTGAATTTTTGTGCCTCTTTTACCATTAGGCCAATTCTGTTTTTTAAGGTGTTCTTTTCTTCAACTTTTTTTGTGCCTCTTTTACTTTTCCCCATAAGAGGGAAGGATGACTACCATTCTCACGCCCCAGGAGGGCACTCTATAGCCTGCAAGTCTCCTCCTCCTTGTTTAGCACCCTGGACAACTGCTGCCTGAGCATTCGTCTGAGTTGATGAGTCTCCAGAAGACGTTCTAAACTAACATCTCCTTTCACTGCTTTCCTGTCCAGCACCCTCTTCCCCTGGGTCATCCTTGGGACTGCTATGGAAGAGTTGTGGGCAAGGTCTTAGGCTTCTGTAAGGGCTGGTGCTTTGCCCTTATTTCCCATCAAGGGCTGGAATAGTACTTTTTGTACTATCATGAACCCAGGCAGATACAGAGTAGAGCCACACTGTGGCCTAAACCATGGCTACCATATCACCCTGTCACCCAATTCTCACTGCTGTCAGATTAGCCTCTTACACAGATCCAGGCATGCCATTCTCCAGCTCAGAACCCTTCTGTAGCTCCTGGTTGCCTTCTTAATAAGGACCAGACTCCTCAGCTCCACAGAGCAGCAAAGGGTCCCTTGGTTCCTGACCCAGACAAAGGCCATGGGAAATCCCCTGGGCCCATCCCTGCCCCTAGTCCCACCTTCTCTCCTGAGCAGTGTATTAGGTTTGAGCAAAGCAAAGGCTCAGTGACTGCTCCCCAGGCCCCAAAGAGGCCCAGCCTCCAATGAAGAGGGGGCCTCCATCCAATAAAGAAACCCACCCTTGCAACGGAAGCAGCAGCCTACAGCTAGTCAGCTAGTCACAGCCTGCTGACTGACCCTCCTCAATGGCTCTCAGGTGAGGGTGAGCTGCAACAAGTGGGCCCATGGCTGTCCAGTCAGTCAGCAGATAACTCACTCTCTGCTGTGCGCAGAGGGTGCAGTGAGCTGCGGGGGGGGGAGGGCATGGCTGCCACAATCATCTGTCTTGATCAGGCAGCACCTACTGTATGCCGGGTGATAGACTGTCTTACACAGAGAACTGGCCATGTCACTCCTCTGCTCAAAAACCTTCTGTGAGTCCCTACCCCATCTTGAATAAGACAAATTCAAAAAAAGGTCTGTGTGAGGCCTAAGGGGGAGGACCCCTTCTGCCTTTAGTGACTGGGAAAGGTGGCCTGGAAGACGGGATTTCAATGGAAGAGATAGAAACTCGGCAGAAAAAGAGGGTCAGACAGGGGCTCTCTAGGGCACAAGGAACATGGTGGATACAGAGGGTTAGGGAGAAGGACCTAACCTCCCTTCCCAGGGCACTCCAGCCCCATGGGGCACAGCTCAGGCACATTTCTATGAAGCAGCAAAACCCTTTAGACATCTGTCCCTGGGCTAGCTTGTCCCAGCAGACTGAAAGGAGGGATGACCCTCCCCTGGAGATCTGCCATACAGGTGGATTGGCACAGCAGAATTTAGCCTATGTGAGTAAGATTGGTGGAGGGGGGAGGGAGTGTGCATCATTCTCTTCTCATCAGAGGCTGAGGTCCAACCAACATTTCTTTTTTTTTTTCAATTTTAATATTTCATTTTTTCTTAACAATTTTAATCTTTGTTTTTACAATTTTGAGTTCCAAATTCTCTATCACCTTCCTTCTCCTTCATCCTCATTGAGAAGACAGTTTGATAAAGGTTATACATGTGGAGTCACACAAAACATATTTCTTCATTAGTCATGTTATGAAAAAAAAAATACAGACCCCAAAAAAACCCTATAAAATAAAGTTTAAGAAAAAATCTGCTTCCCTCTGCATTCTGATTCCAATCATTTCTTTCTCTGGAGGTGGATGGTATTTTTCATCATGTATCCTTTGGAACTTCTTGGATCATTGTATTGATCAGAGTAGCTAAGTCTTTCCCAGTTGTTTATACTTACAATATTGCAGTTACTGTGTACAATGTCCTCCTGGTTCTGCTCACTTCACTTTGCATCAATTCTTGTAAGTATTTCCAGGTTTTTCTGAAAGCATCCTGCTAGTCATTCATTATAGCACAATAGTATTCCATCACAATCATATATCAGAACTTGTTCAGCCATCCCTCAACTGATGGACATCTTTTCAATTTCCAATTCTTTGTCACCATAAAAAGAGCTGCTATAAATATTTTTGTACATAGAGGTCCATTTCGTTTTTTAATCTCTTTGGAATACAAACCTAATTGTGGTCTTGCTGGGTCATAGAGTGTGCCCAGTTTTATAGCCCATTGGCTGTAGTTCCAAGTTGCTCTCCAGAATGGTTCAATCAGTTCACAGTTCCACTAACAGTGTATTAATATCCCAATTTTTCCACATCCCCTCCAACATTTGTTATTTTCCTTTTCTGTCATATCAGACAATCTGATAGGTTGAGGTAGTACCTCAGAGTTGCATTAGTTTGCATTTCTCTAATCAATGGTATTGATAGCACTTTTTCATATGACTAAAGAGAGCTTTGATTTCTTCATCTGAAAACTATCTGTTCACATCCCTTGACTACTTATCCATCGGAGAATGACTCATATTCTTATAAATTTGACTCAATTTTCTATGTATTTGAGAGATGAGGCCTTTATCAGAGAAACTTGCTGTAAAAAATTTTTTTCCCAGTTTCTGTTTTCCTTCTAATTTTGGCCGCAATGGTTTTGTTTATGCAACTAACCAACATTTCTTAAAGTGTGTTCTGGATAAGACCTCCAGTCAATCCACAACCTGGTAGTTTATATCCTCTAAACGTCTTTGCTTCTTTGCAGGGTACTGATTAGAGACAAACGCAGTTAGCTTTTAGAAAGGGGAATTTCCTAAAGTGGAATAGTTAGCATAAGCCATTCCACCCCACCTCAAAAAAAAAAAAATCTATGACACATTCTCCCACCAGTCCATAGAGTCCAAGAGAAAATGGGCTCATGCTCAGAAAGCCCATGTGGCTCCTGGATGCTGTCATTCTTGTTCTTCCCTTCATGGGGTACACAAAAAGTTCCCCTTAACCACGGTATAACTTCTTTGCTGTACTCCTTGTCCAAATAAGAAACTGTTGTCAACTGGTCCCAGAACACTGATAAGACACCAACAGGAAAAATGAGAAGTCTAAAATCCTCCAGACCTTCCAAAATTCAAAAGGCCACCCTCTGGCCAAAGGAGGCTAGGAAGGGAGACTGAGGCCAAGGCCAGAGCTCAGGTCCCCCTTTCTCCTCAAAGTGGCTCCTCCTTAGGGTTTGACTGGGATGTTCCCCTCACCCCAGTCTTTGGATAACTCCAGTTCTCAATTCACTTGCTATTTTGCATATGACCCCTAGGTCATGACCAGGTTTGCTCAGGCTATCTGAGCATGAATCTTGAGCATCCTGCAATTCAGTCAAGGACTTCTGGGATTTAGTCTAAAGCCGATAATGGAGAGATTGATTGAGAGATGGCAATTTGTTCTCCTCTCATTAAGGCAACTTCCTCTAAGTGGGATGGGATGACTAGATTGATTTATTCAATCAACCTCAGGCTCATATTCATGAATGTTTTGATTCAATTAATTAATATTTAAATTTAATTCATAAGAAGGAGAAATGTCTTAAAATTAAAACAAAAAGGTTTGAACAATGCCTAGGAGAAGAGCCTAGAGGCATCAAACTCTCTGAGGGCTCATACTCTTGGTATGAGTTCAGAAAGTAACAAAACATGGTCCCTATAGAACAGGCCTGCCCAACCTGCTGCCAAGTTGGTGGGCTGCTATAGAATGACCGCATCATTCATTTAACCCAGCTTCGTTTTGTTTATCATCATTCTGAAAGGGACCCCAGTGCTGTCGGGTAGATTCTGAGGCTGAATACAGAGCTCAGCACTTCTCCCCCCGCGGCCTCATTTTAAACACTGCTGAGAACAATATGGCGGACAATCACCTGGCCCCAGAAGCCCTGCTGGGTAAATTCAAAGGCCAAGTAGAAATGAGTTCAGGGCAGCAGAATTGATTCTGGGCGCTGACCTCTCTGTTCAAGTAGCTTCTGCCCTTTGCAGCACCGGCAACATTTCTGACCTTTCCTTTGCTCCATTTCCCTACAGGCTCAGCTTGAAGATGAATGCGGATGTGGTCTGCCATGCCCTCCACTTTTGTAAACAGAAGGCCGGGCAGCCTGTCTGCCACCTCTACAAGCCTCCCCAGGTGAGTGGTTTTTCATTCATCTCTCCCCCCTGAATACTTGGAATTTTCTGGGAAATGCTAGAAAGAACTGTTGGGCTTCAATTTTTCAGCAGAATGGGAATTTGATTCATTCAATTAATGACCATTTATTAAGATCCAATTATGTACAAGGTGCTGGGGCTACAGAGACACCCACAAAAAAAATTAAGCAATCTTTGACCAAGAGTATTCATTCTGATGGAGAGTGTGACGCAGACATAACAGGCAGGCACTTTGGCCCCAGGCCATCAAGCAGGTATTAATTAAGCACCTAGTATGTGCCCAGCACTATGCTAGGTGCGAAGAAAACAGGCACAGAGAATGAAACTCTTCCTCCTCACAATGAACCGATGTTCTCAAGGGGGAGACAAATACATACAGCCACAAATATAAAGCAAATAAGACCCAGGTGGGTCTTATTTACAAAGTAAATGCAAAAAGTTTGGGAGGGAGGCTGTTGGCAGGCTGAGAGGTGGGAGGAATCCAGAAAGGCTTCATGAAGCTCTGTCTTGAAGGAAAAGAGAGAGTCTGGGAGGTGAGGGGCTGGAGGGACTGCATTCCAGGCATGGGGGATTACCTGGGCAGAGGCATGGAGGCAGGAAACGATGAGGAACAGAGAGAAAGCCAGTCTGAATTCACTACAGAGTGCAAGAAGGGGAGGGATTTTCATTGAGACAGGAAGTGTAAATTGGGCCAAATTGAGTAAGGCCTTCAAAGCCAAATAAAAGAAGGTACATGTGATTCTAGAGGCAACAGGGAGCAAATGGAGTTGGTTAAGGAGAGGAGTAACCTGATCAGATCTGCACTTCAGGAAAGTGCCTTTGGCAGCAGAGCGTAGAATAGACGGAGGTAGGGAGTCTCGAGGCAGGGAAGATGATCTGGACCAGAGGGGATCAGAGCCTCAGCGTCAAAGGTAACTGAATCAACGCCCATATGCCACAGCTTCTTCTGCCCGCGTACTCTTGGCAGCAGATAGAATGCATTCCCCCTGAAATCAGAGACCATGTACGTTTTGCTCTTGTATCCTCAGCACCTTGCATGGGGCTGGGCGCGTAGTAGAGCAAATGAAACCAAGAGAGAACCTCAGGGTATCAACATATGACATGACTGTGGTCCCTCCTCTGGGAAGTTCCACTTTTTCTCATTAGTTTAGCAGTGGCATGGATTAGCCAATCAGATCACGGCTCAGCACCCATCCTACTAGCTCCTCCTGTCCTTTCTTACCCTGCCATTTCCCCCTTCAAGTTCTTATACAGCTGTACAACCATCTCACCAGACCACTAGAAATGAAAAACCAAAACCAAAACCATCAATGCACCAAAGACTCACCTTGCCCAGCTCTTCCCTAGTTTCCTGCATCAGTGCCACGGCCCAGCCCACCCCCAATTAGCCAGCTAACCAATGCCAGCAAGTCATCTCCCCCAAATATTCTCAACAGTGAGGTGAAAAGCACAAAGGGCTTTCTATTCATTATGACCTCTTCAAGATGGAACACCATCCAGCCGTTGAATGGGGCACAAGAACTCAGGGCTGTAGATTGATTCCTTCCAGGAGAGGCATGGGATTAGAATGTAAGCTCCCTGAGGGCAGGGACCATGGTTTTTTTGCCTTTCATTGTATCCTCCGTGCTCAGTACAATGCCTGGCATGTAGTTAGCTCCTAATAAATGCTGGTGATACTAGTCAGCGTGTTTGGCTGTTTAGAATTGCTTGTGGCATCCAGCACTCTCAGATACTTCCTTTAACTGTGTCTCTGTCCCTGTCACACAAAGTATTAGTTTATTGGGGGGAATTGGGGGGGTTCCTACATTAGGGGGCAAAAACTACCTGGATGTCAGGTCAATCCTGCCCAGCAGTGGGTTTAGAAGAAATGCCAAATGCCACTAGTAGGGTACCATTTGCTCTTCCCTCCATCTTCATGTTCCACAGTCACCCATTGTGGATCCCCCACCCCAACTTCCCCAGTCACTTCACAACTGTCTAGCCGTGATTCCCCCTCACGCTCAGTCACAGTTGTGAGTGGGGGTTGGTGCAGAAGAGAATAATACTGTAAAAAACAACCCCCCTCCTAGACTTGTTCAGAGGCTCTTATGAGAGAATCTGTCGAAAATACTATGTGTAAGTTAAAGGGCTGACTAGCTCCCATTACTAGTAGTATGGGGGGAGGGGGATAATTGCATTCTAGCCCTGCCTAGCACTGACCCAATGCTGATTCAAGCAGCCAGTAGCACACCTAGTAGGAAGTGGGGACCCTGGGCATGCTGGAAACACTCATCCCCTACATCAAGGATAAGTGGTCACGTGACGTCTTTGGGAGACTTTGGGTGGGGGGGGGCGATACTAAATTGCCAAGCACCACAAGAGCTCCTCTAGGGTTTCTAGTGTGGAGACACTTACAATGTGATAAACATATTCTTGTGTCAGAGACACTTCAGGGCAAAGAGAGGAAGGTAAACAAGGTCTGGACTGACAGGAGGCCCATCTCGGAGAATGTCCAGAAAGTGGGGGGGGGGTTTCTGTCTCCTTTGCTGATCTCCACAGCATATTGTTGATCCCACACTGACATGTCTGTGCAGCCCAGCACATGTCTAAACACCCTCCCAAATATCAGTAGTTCAGGACTCTAAAATGGAAATTAATTACATGATGAAGAATGTTAATCCACCCCCCACTAGAACAAGAGAAAGCATTCTAAATTCAAAAGAATGATTAGGGATTTGAGTCTTTATGGATTAGCTACACAGCAAAGACAAGCGGGAATGGGGACAATCAAGAATTTGCTTATGTCCAGCCATTCATTCAATTAACAAGCCTTTACTTATCATCAAATCACAATCTATCTGAACTGGAGGAAATGTCAGAGGGCTTCGAGGCCACCCATGACCTGAGAAGGAAACCCCGACAACCTAGACGGCAAGTGGCCCAAAAACATTCAGTGAGAAGATTGGCTGCGCCCATTTCATTGATTGATCAAGTAGTCAGAAGCATGTATTAGGTGCTTTCTCTGTGCCAAGCACTGTACAGAGTGCTGGGAACACAAAAGTAGAAGCACAAATAAAAATCAACCCTATCCCTGCCCTCAAGGAGCTTCCAGTCTAATGGGAAAGGCAATGTGCAAACAGCTGCTCACACGCAAAATATATAGAAGGTAGATGGAAGGAAATCTGAGCTGAGAGGTGCTCACATTAAGGACAACCAGGAAACCCATCCTGCAGAAGGCAAGACTTGAAGGAAGCTAAGAGAGGGGAGGGGAGGAAAGAGAGCATTCCAGGCATGGGGGACAGCCAGAGGAAGTGCCCAGGGAAGGATGGAGCGTCCTGATCAGGGAACAGGAAACAGCAAGGAGGACTGTATTGCTGGATGATGCCAGATATTGCTGGAGTCCATAGAGTCAATAGTCAATAACCATGGATGAAGCACCTACTATGTGCCAGGCACTGTGCTAAGCACTGGATTCAGAGAAAGGCAAGTGATAAGTCCTGCCCTCGAGGAGCTCCCGGTGTGAAAAGGCCCCACAGGGAATGAACTCATATCTATTTTACACATATATTGTATAGTCACTTTTACAAAGGAAAAGCTCACAATCCTGAAAAAAGAAATCTGGGGAAAATTAATAAGGGAAAAGATTAAACCATCTCAGTATCTGAACATGATAAATCAAACAAAAGATACATAGTAAAATAAGAAAGTTTAATCCTCTTCTGACAAAGTGAATAAAAAATTTAGTGAAGCTAAATTTAACAATTCTGAAGTGGATATAAATAGACTGAAGTCTTCACAGAATTCAAGAGTGCTCAAAAAAACCTGGAATTTATAGACACGTGGAAAGAACTTAATGGAAAAATAGGGAATACACACACATATATACACACTGACATTTCATGTGTGTGTGTGTATGTGTATCATACACACAGAAACACATATACACATTCATATACCCATCATTAGGACAGTGCTCAGCCCATTGCCTGGCCATAGTAGGTGCGTCATGGATGCTTGTTTCTTCAATTTGACTTATTGATCATATCCATGATTTCATTGCTGTAGAGAATTCTCAGCTGAGGGAGTTCCCTCTAACACTATAGGTCAGCCTCTTCTCTGAAATTTATAGTGTTGAGAATTCCCTAGAGAGCAATGAAAGGCAAAGTAGCTTGACCGTCCCTCCAGCCTGTCCATGTCAGAAGTGAGACTAGAACTGAGGTCTTCCTGGTTCCCAGGGCCAGCTGGCTCCCTGTCTACCCTACCATATTCCTTTTCTAATACATATCATAAATATACTATATGCATATGTTGATATATACATATAAACAACATACATGAGATAATCACAAAAAAAACATGTTCTAGGATGTAGAAAACTCCTCATTAAATGTCCAAAGGCAGAAATAAGAAACCCTCCTTTTATACACCACAGCGCAACAAATCTAGAAGGAAACCAAGCTAAGCTGACCATAAGGCATCAGCTCCACCAAAAACAACTGCCTGAATAATCTCTAGGTTAAAGAAGAAATTCTAAAAACCCAACCAGATGGCTTTAATGATAATTCAAGTAGAATGTAGTAAAATTCATATGTTATCATTGTTGAGTCATTTTCAGTCATGTCCAACTCTCCATGACCCCATTTGGGGTTTTCTTGGCAAAGATACTGGAGTGGTTTGTCATTTCCTTCTCCAGCTCATTTTGCAGATAAAGAAACTGAGGCAAACAGGGTTCAGTGGCTTGTCCAGGGTCACTCAGCTATCAAGTGTCTGGGGTCAGATTTGAACTCAAGATGAGTCTTCCTGACTCCAGGCCCCACACTCGACCCACTGCACCAGCTAAATTCATAGGACATGGCCAAAGTAGTATTCAGAGGCTGGTCTATCAAAAAGAAAAGGAGAAACTCAATTGAGTCTGCATTTAAAGAAATCAGAAAATAAAGAAAGTGATATACCAAAAGAAAGAGGAAAGGAGAAACTATCAATATTAGTACAAAAATTAAT